GGTATCAATCAAATTCAATTATGCATAAAATTGTGAATTAATCTGTGAATACTGGATACTAATTAATATAAAGGCACAGGTTTACTTTGAATGCTTGGAATTTTTTTCATAACATAATTGGGACAAAACAAAAACAGTATTTGATTCAATCTAAAAAGATTAGTGAGGCATGATGCAAAGTTTGATATGATAGCTTTGTAATGTATTCAATCACAGATGTGACCTGAATAATTTTAATCCTCATTGAGGTAATGGAGCATGTTATAGTCGACAAATACTGATCATTATCACAGTATTATAAATACAAATTACACAGGGTTGTATATACCGTGTAGAATCTCTACAATAACATTCCTTAAACATGTTGTAATTATTTGTCCATTTTAGTGTATAAACAAACACATACAATGTTGATACTTCACCAAACCTTTTGATACAAGCTTATCAACACACCTACAATATCAATCACCATCTAATTTAAAACACATTGTTTTGTTTTATTTAATATACAGTTTAATTTGACATGTTATTCTACTGAAATTGAAGTATAAATTAACAAAAAATTGTTGCAAGAATCATAAAAATGCATGCAAATTTAATCATTAATCATTTTTCCTGATTTTCATTAAATAACCATGCATTGAGGGAGTGTAGTAACGTTCAGACAAACATTTAGGTGTGTTCAAGTTAAGCCACTAATAAAACTTCCATATAAGTGTTGTAATTCAGTGCACAACTCAAGAAAATTCATCTCCCAAATTTAGCAACACAGAAGTTATTATCAACACTATAACGATCATATTATTTGAATTTTATTGGAGTTAAAATTATACCTGCTTTGCCTTGCTTATTTCAATTTTCAAGTATACATTAAAATTTATGAACTCAATCGATCAAACAAATAATGACTCTCACAGAGCTACACACAGAGCTGAACAGCAAGAGTCAACACTGGTGAAGGACACATAAGACAAGTCTGGCGATCGCAAGAAAATCTTACTTTTCCCATGTGCATTGTATGACAATTCTGTCATCAACAAGTGTGAAAAAAAAATCCCTTTTTAAAAAGTATCACAAAGAAAACTTAGAAAGTTTGAATGTTAAAAACTGGTGATAACTGAGATAATATATTCAGGAAGTTGATAGATTTCACACAGCAGACCAGGTGACCATCAATCATACATAGGAAGTGACAAATTACTGATTAACGACAGCTCTCTCGTGTTCATCAATATCAATTAGCAGACAATTTTTCAAGCTGATGTCCACTTTGAGTTGAAACTGCTGACAGCACAAAGTGTGATTTTGTATGTTACACCTGTTCATGTCCAAGCAAGGAAAATTAGGATACAATCATTCTGAAACAAACAGCTTAGAATGAGAACCCTGAATTTTCACAACCTCCATAAGCCATACTGAGATACAAAGTAGACAACACATTCTCATTCAAGACAACCAATGAAGCATTCACTCCCTACTATAATTACAATGTAAACTCTGTATTAATGATCATTAATATCTCATCTACAGTGCAAAGTAACGTGTACTGAAATCATACCAAAACTGACTACATCAGTCTAATACAAGTCATAATATGGAAACAAGTTTGTCACTTAAGCTTGCCAGTTTATACTGACATTGCTCTCAACTGATTTGTTTTACTTTGCTGTCAAAAGGCTAAATATAACAAACTCCTCATTATGTACCTTTCCCTCTAACTATGTATCCAAGTTCAAGAAAATCACTTGTTTTCCTAACTCTGGTATACTATTGTTCACTGACAAGTGCATACATCCTTACTCATGACGTAACTTGTTCCCCTAACACCATAGTATCATATGCCCAAACACTAGGGTATTTACCTTGTCCCTACAGCTCAAATACCCTTACCTGAACTTAAGTACCCTTTAAATAACTCCTGTAACACTAATAACTGTGAGCCCCCCCCCCCCCCACCCAACCCCCTTTAGTTAGTTGTAGTACTACATCTTCATAAGTGTGCACCCTAGTACCGAGCCTTAACTTAGGCTACCTATTGTACCTTCAGCTCCTCTTAGCTTTATCTAGTACCCCCTTTTTTTACAACTCACCTAACTTCCCTAAACGTTGGTGTCCATCTGGACTCAAGTGTCCCCCACCTCCCTCGACTACTCCTTCCCCAACATTACTCAGTGGCATTCCTGTCTTGACCACACACACAATAAATAATAATACCTGGTATAATATCGCATTTGTCAGACTGATAGGCCAAAAAGTAGTGTAAGATGTGCCTGGGAGATACAGGTGACCCCTTGGTCTGGTGAAAGTATGTCAAGACACCCTCTTACAGACATTTAACTTAACACTGTCAACAATACAGGCATGGACTAGATACACATACCTAGGACAAATGTCTTCAAACTGAAGTGCAGGGAGAAACACGATACCAGAACCAAAGTCTAATGCATCCAGTAAAACAGTAAATACGGTATACAAATGTAAAATGTGCTAGTTCTTTTCTAATGCTATTAACCTATGAAACCATCAGTGACTTAAAAACTGTATCATTCTGCATGACACAGTATCATGCTCATATCCGTAAAAACATGAGGTGTAAATGTAGGAGCTAATTTTGCCCTGTGGCCAATGACATTTATTATATTAACATGTTGTACTAGTGATTCTCCAGGTAAAAATTTCAATGAATAGTAGCATATATATATATATAATATTACACCTAAATAGTGATGTGTGCTATACTACACAGGTGTGTGTATAGCAGTGTGTGGTATTCTCGTCAGTGCAGGTGCACAACATAACGGACAATGATTTGTTTACAGGTGTCAAGACAACCCAAACCATCCCAGGGTAATTTTACCTGTGCTTCAAATTAATTAACTCAATGTACAGCTTCTGTTGAGCAGCTGTGATCCGAAGTGTATAGGTAACAACCCAAAATCTCAAAATTATGAATCCTTTCTTCAAAGTTGAAGAATGTTTTTATTGTTAGATGTGTTTAGTGTTTTGTATCATTTCACACATGCTCCACCTTCACACATGGTTCTACGCAAACAAAATCAATCTAGTGAGTAACTATCCAAAAATACTTTCCACACCAAACAGAAACCCAATTCACTCAGTTCATCACTTCACCGGAACTGTATGAATGAACCATTTAAGCAAAAAAAGTTATCTGCTTCTCGCATGTCAAACACAAGTTTAACAAAAAACAACCCATTGAGTATTGTACACCAATATACTACAAATTTATAACAGTAATTCACTTATTTACGAGAAGTGTGCGTTTTTGTTTTTTTTAGAAGCAGACATTACATTACTTGTTGCACCATGGTGTGATGACTTTTTCAATGAAGTCTTTTTGTAGATATTCTGGTCAGTAATGAAAGTAAGTTATGTAGTTGATTGTACCTCATGAACTCACTAGTTAACCTAGCCCTCCCCATGGACACAGGAATGTACACTATCATAACCATGTAACCAGATGTTCTCTATCCCCCACTCAAGCATGACGATGCATAACCACTCAAACTCCAGCTAGTCAATGTAATCTTTCTCAATAATCTTTCACCAAAGAACATTCATGGTTACATTATAAGTTAAGGTTCTGACCTGAAATCCAACGCCAGACATGACAAGACAGTTTCGCTGTAAATTTTTATCACAAGGACTTGGGCTTTTTCACTTTACTTATATCTTTCCAGAAAGGAAACGGGAAATTACATATACACATAGGATAACTAGCTGTTCTTCTAAGCCACCTCAAAATATATGGTGCAATACTTAATACTGAAATTTAACTACACATAGTCCTTAACCTTCGTGTACAATTAACTTCTCTGTTTTCTTTTTTGAGACCAGACATCAAGCCGTACAGGCCCTAATTTAACAATTTTCCATGAACCACTGCTAGAGTCATCATCATTCTTCTGAATTCCGGTTTCAGTAAAAATACTTGTGGTTATTTTAAGAAACTTGGCAAATACGTAGTTTCAAAGAAAACCCTGCAATTCACCACTTGCAAAATGAAGACATTAGGCAAACAATAATATCACAATTAACAACCAGTAGGTACACAAAAAAGAAAAGCAAATGATATTAGTAAAAGGACTGAATACTAGCAATGCCATGACATTTTAAATGGTAAAACTTTTTTACAAACCCCTGGTATATACACAAACCCAACTAACATTCTAGCTGAACATTTTAGTTAAGCTTAAAAAATCTTCAAATTTTTCACTTGAATCCTAATTTCATTTGAAGATAATTATATCCTTCAAATGATTTCCTGTCCGTAAGTTATAGGTGATAATGAAGGTTAGGTCAATAAAAAATAAGCAATAGCTTCTCCTTCAACTGATAACCATGATTTCAAGAACAGGATGTTAAAGATAAGCGTTAAAACTGTCCTATTTTGCTTAATGCAGAAAACCTTGGAAAGGTGCCAAAATTGCACATGTGTCAATACTACCTGATTTTTTTTCATCTTCAGATTCAATGCAATGCCTTAAATACATGCGTGTGTGATTTATAACAGGGGAGGGATATAGGTTATGTAAATAAAACTTTGATATGAATTTTGAACAGTCAGATCTTCCATTCAAAATGAAATAATATATCTCAATAAATAATGTCACTTTGTAGATCCTGTTAAAATAGTGTAACTCAAAATATTTTAATACTTGATTATGCTGTCATTACTTCAAGGTTGAAGAAATTTCGGTCTGTCAATATTAGCAGGCATTTCAATTTGGACTCTTTCTAAAAATATCTTATAGGTCTTAATTTCATCAGCTATAATGATGGGAATATCTTAAACATTACTCGTTTCAACCTTTAATGGCCATACTTCTACTTCTAAAGTGATGCAAACCTTCAGTCATTGTAAAATTTCTTTAGATTTAAACAATACCGTTAGTATATAATAACAGGCAACAGATACATATCAGTGCTTAAGACGAAAACACATGTACGAAGGATTGGAAAGTTGATAATATAATTACCCAGAGCGTCCACGAGCTGGACCATGACCCCACCCACATGTAGATCCCCTGTCACACGAAGGGTCCGTTCCAACTGTAAATCCGTAACCGTGATGGTCAGATTCCACGACCCGTCCGCGCTGGCCATTTTCACGTATTATCTCTTGAAACACACAAATTTGTAATATACACAGACTGTACGTTTACTAACAAACCACACAGATAATTCCACTATACAGGTAAATCCCAACTTGAAGACATAACCAAAGCTTGCTCCCTCTACAACTCACGGGAGTTTAGGAATTGGCATTCTCTGAAAAATAAGAAATAAAACTTTATTTGGTATTCTGATAAGCCGAAGTTCTTAACAACTATTACTAGTTGGATGTAGTTATGATGGTTGCAGATGAACAAAAGCTATACAGTTGCCAAACAACTTTTACTAAACAACGTGAGAAGATGAGCCACTCATACGGATTGGCATTAGAGTCGGAGACATATGTGAAATCCGTGAATGAATGATAAAGTCGAAGTTTACAACTAGGCCTATTCTAGGTCACTCGCTGAAACGTAATGGCCGATCCCGAAGTAGGGAAGTCCGGCGAGAACAACTGTTTCTCTTTCTGCCTACCTTATTCCTTTGGCGTCCTTACGCGAAAAGATTGCCCTCGGTGTCCTCTCCTGACCTCGTGATAAACAACAGAGAGCGTGACACAATGCCACAAAACCAAAACACAAACGAACAAACGCTAGCAAGTACCTTAATGACTCAAACTGCTTGCCCTATATGGAAGTGAATTATCTACGTTCTCTGAACTTCCCCATCTGCTGTTACACGGGTTTTGATTGGTTGTGGGATCTCCCACGTTGACATTCTTTATCGCACAATGAAATGTTAGTGTAGCATTTAGAATGCTAATATCATAATTACCATACTTAATAAGATTTAATAATCTCTCACTTTAATTCAATTATATAATTTGCACTTGCATAAGATTGATAATAACGGGAAACCCCTCTCATATCAAAATGAAATTCGGACCAATCGTTGCCCGGCTTACAATAGAACACTGATCAATCGAGTACATGCAAATGACGTCACATTGTAGGGGATTTACCAATCCCCAGCCGGTTTCAAGTTTCTTGGCTTTTTGCTGGTGTTACTCATATGTTTGTAATGTATGCAAATTTGTAACGTGTTTGAAGTCTAATTAACCAGCCATGTTAACCTACATTTTATTTATTATGTCTCAGAAATATAAGAAATTGGATGAATAAATAAATACAATTTTTTACAGAAAAGATTAAAAATTAATAAGTGATGTCAATTTTTATGTTTAGTACATATATAGCCTAAATGCTATAACTGAGTATCAGTTTGTTGATAAATATCTAAGGCAGTGGTCAGACATTGAAATCTTTGGTATTTCTATACAAGAATATATGATGATAACTTATTTGTATTGGACATTGGAAAAAAAACGACTGGGTAATAGTGGCAGAAACACACATTTAGTTAAAATGTGTATAAGTAGAACCAAGATATTGTTCAAATTTCCCTTTCAGTTTTAGAATAGCATGTATAAATGCCAAAAAATTAAATTTGTGTTGTAATCTTTTGAGAAAGCAACTTTTCTTTATTAGCTATCATTGGCTAGGTAATCTTCATCAATTTGCTTAATTGCTGTCTTCATATGAATTTTTTTAAACTTACCAATTTATATTGAATAACTTTGTGAAACCCATATGATTCACAAATCCAGCATCAACACCATACTTGACACTATATTTGCAAATCCATCCTGAGGACGGAGACTCCCATTGTGATGTCCTAGTTTTTAAAAGTTCAATAATGAGAAAAACTTGGATGTTCATAATTTCAAAAATCCCACTCTTCCACTAAATAGTCAGTACTAGTTAATGAAAAGGAAGCTTAAAAATGCATTTTCAAAGTCTTTATCTTTTGAAAGTACACAATATCATCCCCACAGCAATTCAAAAAATTTAGACAAGCATTAACACCTTCCATCCTGGTCAAGAATATTTTGGATATTAAAACTGTTTTAGAATCTAGTTCTCAAGACATATCAAAGCTAAATATGTTGGTTCATTTTAATCTGGCATCACACATGGCTTAATTCATATAATTTTATTATCAGGATATGAGCAACATTACACTTCAAGAAATGCACAAGTTTTAAACTTTCCAATTCTGGTTTATTTTGGTCCACCCCTGTATTAGCTCTAATGGGATTAACTGGTGGAGTATCATTCACTTTTCATTAACTAATCAATATCTGGTATATGAAATCAGCATGAAACACCTCTAATTAATTCAGCACAACAATGTTCTATGTTTCTAATCAGTTATTGAAATAAATATGAAAACAAAACATAAATAAGATTTTTTCCATCAGGCCTTAATAATTTTATTTGCATATCTTGACACAATGTACGAGACATTTATCATTATCATCATCAATCATAACAATCACTAACATTCACTTACAATAAATAATTGTTTTGTTTCATTCAACATGTATATCAACAATATATTGTAACAAGTGTTACACATTTTAGAGAAGAATGTCATAAATTATATTTTCTGGACGGATTATTGGTTCGTAACCAGCAGTCAGTGAGTTGTGAATCAACAGCTAAAGGTACACTGAAGATTTAATGGTAATATAAGCCAATTGATGTAATAAAACCTTCAGTGTACAGCTGTATGATGGACTTCTTCATTCTCATCTCTGCATACTGACATAGGAAAAGATATTTTACACAAGTTTGAAATTTGTCTAGGGTTTGTAAGTATTGGTTACCTATGTAACATGATCTGATGATAAATAAACCAAGGTTTGGTATGTAGTATCTTCTGTATAGATGTCTCTTTAATTCTAACACACCTGATGACAAACTTTTCTCCATATGTACCCAATGATCAAGTGTATATAACACGTCTAGCCACCTGGTTTAATGGCATGCATGCAATAGTGAAATAAATCTGGTTCCTCACAGAACACAAACTCTTTTACTGGTCATAAAATTTGATGAAATCTTCCATTACAAATATGTATTGTATTCATATTTCAAATCATTTCACACTTTCCATATAGAAACAGCTGTACCCATTCAATTAGAATGGAACTCTTTAATATCATGTAAATGATACAACAAGATGTATCTTATATGATAGGTTTACTACCTGAAAAGCCAGGTGAGCAAACAGAATCATTGGCATGGATTTTCTTCCCACCTAAAGTGAAAACCAGCAGAGAAAAAAATAAGTAATCCAAATATTTTGCTTTAGGTCACAAATAAAGCGACAAGATTTTCCGTTTCAGTGACTGCATTGAAAAGAGAAAGTCAAACTGACTGAATAGTTTTTCCATTCAACTAATTCTTTTTGAAATGCATTTTTGAAATATTTTTTCAAAACCAGGTTTCATTTTATTGTACTGGTCGAAATGACACATTATCAGGTGACGGTAAGGGAAAGAAGGAATCAATGGAAACGAAGTACGATGGTGAGGACAGCCACCAACTATATATGCTCATCCCAGTGTGAAGGTAGCACACAGCCCATTTAACCACATAAGTTAGTTAAATACCTCCAGCATTACATATTTACTCGTGTGCTTATCAGAGTAGAACCATTGTCTCCACAGGTATTTTGATATGTATCTTGCTATTCATAAATTACAATGCCTCTCACCAAAGCATGCAATACAGATTTGGGTAATTTTCAGGTAGGACTCCATTCAAGAAATAATGTTATACTGCCTATCATCCCAATCTCCATGTAAACACCTGCAATAGATTGTTCTTCTACTACAGTAGACTTGGGGACAAAGGAAATCAAGGAATACTTGAGAAGCATTATTACAAAAAGTACAATATCAACAACAAATTTTAAAGAAATACTACACTTAAATTATTCACCTGTAAATAGATATGGATAGGTTTCACTTCACGGGAGATTACTGTATCTAAGTGATGCATCATGATGTAATACATGATAAAAAGTGTACTAAAACAAGATGTTGATCTTTCTTTGAGAAAAAGAATAATATTTAATATTCTCTCAACTGGCAGTCAAGTCTACAGTCAGCGGTGACATGTATCAAACCTATGCCTGGTAGTCATGTCTAAAGGCAGGGTATGAGATTATTACAGGAAAACCAGACCTGGGAAGGTTGCAAGAAATCTCTGACTCTAAGTCAGGATGTGGGCTTGTTACAGGACAATTAAACCCTGATATCTAATACTAAACCTTGGACTCACAGTCAAAATGTGGGCTTATTACAGGACAGTGAAAAATCATTTGTTGAATATGATATTTTACAATAATAGACATGAGAGGGCTTGTTACAGGACATTGAAATAGCATATGTTGAATATGATATTTAAGAATAGATGTGGGTGGGCTTATTATCAGCCATGGGCTTATTACAGGATGAATATAGGTAGTTCACATCTAACATTAGTCATAAATGACAAAGGTGTATATGGGAAAGCCCATAATTCATCAAATTAACAACAAATATCACAGACATTCAGCATGACACGTGTCAAACATCATATTTTTGTTGCTCTATCACTTTCAGTTCATAAAAAAAACCTTGAAAATTAAAGTCTATTAATGTTCTATAGAAGTGAGAAATGATGTTTGAGCTGCTTTAGGAGTTCTTTGGAGTCAACATGATCAGGGAAGGCATCCACAGCTCGCTTGGCTGCATTGTAGCTGCTTTGTAAATCTCCCATCTGTAAATACAAAAATACCAAAAATAAAATACCATACTCTATCAAAAACACAAAGACACCTAAAGCTGAAATAATATATTCAAGCCATCAGTTAAAATATATATACTGTACCTAATATAATCAGTTCTTATTAAAGACCTCCGTCAAATGAATATTTACAAGAGTTTGTTTGTTTGGGTTTTTTTTTTTTTTTTTTGGCAAAAGATATAACACTTGATAAAATGAATACAGCCCCTTGATATATTCAGACCTTTACAGAAACAGGACAAGCATCATAGGTTGACTCATAATCTGTAGATGAAGGTTTGAAGGAGTTGGAAATCTAGATTATTAACCACTCTAGCCAACCTGAGTGTACTGAAGTGGTTTATCCCATATCAATCTGTCACATTTATAACTTCCCATGGCTAGTTTGTCATCCACCCTTACAGGCCATGAATCAACCTTATTATTATTGATATGGCCTTTTGGTCATTGGTACAGCTGGCCATCCTTACAATGTCCAGTCATGTCTGACCTCTGAATCCTCCTCTGATCCTAATTGGCAGGACAAAGGCGTGACAATGCTGATGATTACAGCCACAGAAGTGTGTTTATCAATTGTCTATTAATGAAGTTACAAGGAGCAAGTGGCCAGCAACACGCACAGTGACATAAGCGATCAGTTCCTAGTCATTCCCAGGACAGGTGGCCTCTCTTTATCAACATATCTAAATTAAACCAATAATTCAGTTCGTCTGGGAGACAGAAACACTGTTTGTGTCATAAGATGAATAATTTGTATTCCAGATGATTTGGAATGCAAATGTGTTAGATGATGAATAGAATTTAGTTACAGTACATATATCTTTCCTGTGTTTACTTCATCTTGCTTTTACATGTAGTCCATTTCATTGTGTGTAAGCATGATTTTCATCCACAATTCAACAGCAAAACACATCAGAAAGACTGATCAGCTCTCGTGACATGTCATATCCAAATCAATATGGAAAAAAAATCAAGGCTATGTTAAAAGTAATGAAAAACTTTCCCAACAAAAAACCTTCAAATACCAATAAAAGACTGCAACTAGATGTTCATGATATGTAGGCCAAACCTAAAATCTAATGCATACAGGCTGTATTAGCATTGCAAATGGTTAGATTTGAATAATAAATATAGGCAGTATAACAGCACTTTCTGTCTGACTATTACTCTCTAAGATGGTTTGATATCAGAATGTATAAAGTGTCTGTTATAGTATAATCCAACTTAATAATATAAGTACATGCACATACTCTTTTATTAGCATCATGATCAAAACTCAGGACATAAAATGTGTTACAAAAACTTTATTTACATATAGCATCATTGTCTTAATTGGTATGTACAACTTCACAATAACTTGAAAAATGTTGATTTTCTAATCTTTCTCACATTTTATATGAAGTGGAAACTCTTGCGAGATCTTTACTTCACTAGTCAAAATGTGAATTGTCATTTCCTTTATCGGTAAAGACAGTAAACTTCGCCTTGAGAAAAGATCATAACAACTGTTATTGTTCAATATTATGATTGACTACAATGGAGTGTAGATGTTGAACTCAACTACAAGGTAAAAGTGCTGTCATTACAATTTTAATGCCAAAGCAAACAGGTCTTTAAATGTAAAAAGGATGGTCATACAAAGGTTTCTGTGGTCAGTCATGGCCTGGACAACAAGAATGCCCTCTGTCCAGTCATAGGTAAAGGCCATTATGTCCTGTCACCAAACTAACAAGCTGTAACACCAATGATATTGACCCTATCATAGTATGGCTCATCACTTCTCTATAGACCTCAGAAAAGTGGTCATCTTAATGACAGTGGTCAGTATCACTAAAGTCCAATAAAATGTCAGTGTGGACAATCCACCAACCACAACAGCCTGGCTGAGTCCCTATACAAATTCTTCAGTAAATGACCAGGGTCACTTTTCTATTATATATGACTGGTCATCTAATTACAACACTGGCTGTGACCTTAAGCAAGTCCTGGACCAGATAACATCTGTGACCTTCTGGATGTCCACCAATAAAGTGATTATGTAGTAACCTCACCACAGAGCACCTGGTGGAGTGGAAAACCACAACAATACTTCTATCCTGCTGGATATTTGTATAAGTACCAATCTTGGCCCTTCAATTTTTTTTTTTTTTCGATATATATGTAGTACTAGAGCCCAGATACAGAAACCATAACAATGACAGTCATAGTGTTATAAATTCCAACCTTGTGGCAATATATGATACCACTAAAACTTTTAAAGCAGAATATCATCCTTTCATTCAAAACCAAATTGTGAATTTCATAATCTTATTTGCTCGTATATACTCCTTTTAATTTCAAATAAAATGTGAATCGAAATATTTAATTTGCATGTCATCCATAAATAGCATGAATAATGAACACAGGAGGAATCAAATTTTACATTATAAAATGAAATTCTATAGAAATGAAAAAAAATATATACCAAAAACTTCAGGAAACTTAAACTTATACAGTTTTTCAGTGAATAGTTGTAATATTATGTGATGCAAATATAGAAGGAAGAGCATTCTTAGCGGTAATGGTTCATCCTGTCATTTACCACCACTTCAGCTAACTTAAAAACTTATAAATTTTATGGAGATTTCACTTATAGATAAAATACCTTCTGACTATGATCTTCTAATGACAGTATGTTATAAAGCAGGTATACAGTCAATGTTGAACATATAAATCACATCCAGACTGTGAGGTATAAACTACATGTCATTTACATAGATAAAAAGTTCTCATCAACATTACCATATCTATTCCACCTACAAAGGGATTATAGTTATCCACTAATGTCAGGGTGTTCATTTCAAACCTCTTGGGTAGGTATGTTATTTCATCAAATATGAAATCCGAATATCTTAAAGCATCAAAAATAAAACTTCATACTTGTGAAAACTGCATCATAGCAATCATGTGCAGCAGACAGTGAAAAGTCTACCTCTCCAATACAGCTCGTAAACTATCAAGTGTAAGCAATCCTGCTCTTTATTCATGCATTCATCACATGTTATTATAATATTTAATGACTTAACCATTTTTTCTTATATTTGTTGATGTCAGACACAAACCATTTTATTTACGTAACAATAAACATGTATATCTCAGAAAAGACCAATAACAAGTAACATATGTAGTACTTATCAAATTATTTGATGTTTCTTGTAATATTTCCTGCTGATCTGACCAGTAACTTTTAATACTGGACTGAGAAGTAACATATAAGTTGTAATATTGATCTGATAATTAACAAGTAACTTTTGATACTTACCTGACCACTAACTAGTAATTTATCATACTTACCTGACTATATTGCTATAAATAACTGTTAAGATACTTACCTGACCAGTAAAGTTTGATACTTACCTGACCACTAACTAGTAATTTATCATACTTACCTGACTATATTGCTATAAATCACTATTAGATACTTACCTGACCAGTAAAGTTTGATACTTACCTGACCACTAACTAGTAATTTATCATACTTACCTGACTATATTGCTATAAATAACTGTTAAGATACTTACCTGACCAGTAAAGTTTGATACTTACCTGACCACTAACTAGTAATTTATCATACTTACCTGACTATATTGCTATAAATCACTATTAGATACTTACCTGACCAGTAAAGTTTGATACTTACCTGACCACTAACTAGTAATTTATCATACTTACCTGACTATATTGCTATAAATAACTGTTAAGATACTTACCTGACCAGTAAAGTTTGATACTTACCTGACCACTAACTAGTAATTTATCATACTTACCTGACTATATTGCTATAAATCACTATTAGATACTTACCTGACCAGTAAAGTTTGATACTTACCTGACCACTAACTAGTAATTTATCATACTTACCTGACTATATTGCTATAAATAACTGTTAAGATACTTACCTGACCAGTAAAGTTTGATACTTACCTGACCACTAACTAGTAATTTATCATACTTACCTGACTACATTGTTGTAAATCACTATTAGATACTTACCTGACCAGTAAAGTTTGATACTTACCTGACCACTAACTGATACTTACCTGACCACTAACTAGTAATTTATCATACTTACCTGACTATATTGCTATAAATAACTGTTAAGATACTTACCTGACCAGTAAAGTTTGATACTTACCTGACCACTAACTAGTAATTTATCATACTTACCTGACACCAGTAAAGTTTGATACTTACCTGACCACTAACTAGTAATTTATCATACTTACCTGACTATATTGCTATAAATAACTGTTAAGATACTTACCTGACCAGTAAAGTTTGATACTTACCTGACCACTAACTAGTAATTTATCATACTTACCTGACTATATTGCTATAAATAACTGTTAAGATACTTACCTGACCAGTAAAGTTTGATACTTACCTGACCACTAACTAGTAATTTATCATACTTACCTGACTATATTGCTATAAATAACTGTTAAGATACTTACCTGACCAGTAAAGTTTGATACTTACCTGACCACTAACTAGTAATTTTTTATACTTACCTGACTATATTGTTGTAAATCACTATTAGATACTTACCTGACCAGTAAAGTTTGATACTTACCTGACCACTAACTAGTAATTTATTATACTTACCTGATCATCCTGCTATAAATAACTATTAGATACTTACCTGATCAGTAAATTCTATACTTACCAATGACCCAAAACAAGTAACTTTTGCTGCGTGTACCTACATGACATGTTAGAGGTAACTTTGTTACTGATCTGACTTTTGATACCTATATGACAAGTAACAAGTAACATTTTATACTGACCTGATCAGCAAGTGCTGCCCAGTTATAATGTGCCTCATACATATGTGGAGTCAGGATATATGCTGCTTGGAAAAATGCCCTTGCCTGCAATGAAAAATAAGAAATTAATGTTTTCAATTTCAGGTCTACAAAAGTTTTATACACATTTTCATTTCAGTAATGATTACCATAATTTTAGTATTCAAATACAGTACCTGCACCCATCTTTGCAGCCAAAAACCAAAAAATTTAAAAATCACGCCCCCCCCCCCCCCTAACAGCCTCATAAGCCATTACTACAGAGACATAGAGTGCCTCATCTCAGCCAATTTCAGTATACTTTTTAATATCCAGTTCTTCAGATACACATAACCGGACAACGTTCTGTAGTATTGTTTTTGTCGAAATCTATATCAATACAGCAAAAAAATTTTGACCAAGCTGGCATCAAGTCCTATTCAAGTGCCAGGGTAATTATTCAGCAATTTGTTTCCATATCCAAGACATATATACTCCAGCAAAACACATGAACATGTAGATTAAAGCAATATTTATGTTGTCATTTTGCCAAAGTAGGTATAACTACTACAAAGTACATATGACCCAATGGGGAAGAGATTACAAGTATATAATGGCCATTTTTCTATACCAAACAAAATTCACACTGGCTGACCTAGGTTGATGTGTTTGATGGCATTATAGACACATTTTGATCTACTGTATTGGTAAACAGCCACACAAAAAGGCTGCACGATTACCAAGGCTCAAGAAATGACCAGTTTTTGTATCTATCATGTTACCCAGGCTCAAGTAGTTAAGGTAGAAGATATATATAGTTGTGACTAAATCGCATAGTTCAGTGACCTGGTGATGGAGATATGTACAGGGGTATGACTAGATCACACTGACAGACTCCTGTGATATGTTCATGGAGACATAAACAGGTATGACTAGACCATACTGACTCTAGTGCCAGTTGATGGAGACACATACAGAAGTGACTAGACAATACTGACTACTGACCAGTTGATGGAAACATAAACAGGTGTGACTAGACCACACTAACAGACTCAAGTGACCTGTTGATGTAGACATATACAGGAGTGACTAGACCACAGTTTCCAGTGACTTGTTGATGGAGACATATACAGGAGTGACTAGACCACAAACTCCAGTGACCTGTTGATGGAGACATATACAGGAGTGACTAGACCACAGACTCCAGTGACTTGTTGATGGGGACATATACAGAAGTGACTAGACCACACTAACAGACTCCAGCAATACTAATCCTATCGACCCCAATGTTCTTGTAAACAAGAATTATGCTGACATATTTCTAACTCAAAGAAACCTTTTTGCAATGACTTTTCTTTGAGCAGCTATTGAATTCCCAAAACATGAAGCTGATACATTTTTATTGGCCATAACTTTACAAGTTTGTCTATAGAAAACATTGTGTATGTATGAAAAGGTGTGTTGTAGTCATCAGAATAATCTTTAACACAGCAATATATCTTTGTCCAGTTAAAGGGATGGTCAATGCTCACCTGTATTCATAGCTGTCAAACGAGGTGTGAAAGAAAACATTACCATATAACTGGTGAGAACACCTGGATACCACAAAAATCACCCCCTAGCTGATTGTCATGAAATATGGGAGATCTGCCCACAGCCTGAACTTAGTACCATAAAACATCTAGTCCAGCGTTAACAACACTGGTCAGGACAGAGGTAGGGTCACTACAGGGCACTTCAGGACAAACATCGAGTCACCAGGCAAGCAAGGATAGGGCTGGTCAAAAAAGTTAAAATAACTGGACAATAACAGATAGAGGTTTCTCTTCATGATCTGTTAAAAAAGTTCTGATTGATATTATTCAGTGAAACTTCTTTCACTGTATTGTACAACACTACAAACAGGATTACTCTTTATACAGAATTTGAAGTTAGATTCATATTCTTAATTTCACAAAAAGCAATTTGATATCCAATAATTCATTCCATTTCTAATTTCAAATGATTTCTTAAACTTTTTCTATGGTGTCTAGTAATGACTATTTGCTAAAACAGCTATATTTTTATATTACAAGGTGAAAGATTCTGGTACTGTTTTCTTCCTCCCCTCCTCCAAATATATTTTGGCTGGACTGTATGATCTACTTTTGGCATTCATCACCAACAGTCCTAGACAATCCTACACACCAGTCGTCAGATGATATATTTCACCTTATCCAGTTGTTTTTTTATACACTAGTTCTACAGGAATACACTTGTGGAACGATCAGGTGTCCATTTATACTGGCATTTCCTACAGAGTTGGCTATAATGAGAAATGTCTCAAACAATCCCACTATGGATGCCAGAATACACAGAAATAACTGCCCAGCAGGACACTCATACATTTTTATGACTTCATAGTCAATTTATAGAGTGGTTCTCAGAGTTCATTTCAAACTGACAGTAGTATAGTCCTTGAATGAGATACTCAATCAGATATCTGGTTCTACGTTGCAAATGGATGTGAGAAACACAGTTTTGAAATATCGGTCACTTTGGCATCAGTTCTAATTTTAAGGACAATACGATTCACATAAGGTGACTCACTACTTCTGTAATTATTGACCAATTACAAAACATTAAGCAAGTAGTCCAGAATGACATGATTTTCAGTTAAAAAAACTGTTCCGGTAGAAATATAATGTATGATAACTTAAACCATCACAAATCAAAGGAACTGACTCAAGAAAACTGTCAAAATACCTTTTTTAAATATAAGATGCAATGAACTTAATGATCTGTATCAACTGCATATTGACACTGTATCTTTTACAATATTACCGACATACAACAGGTTCATTGGGTGCTTGATTGTAAACTAATTGTCAATAAAATTTACTCAGGTCAAACACTTTTCTACCAGGAACAATTTGTGGTCGAATGGAAGCAATCTATGCTACAGTAATACTTTATCAGAAAATGACTGATAGAACTTAGACATATCAGACCAGAATTGTCTACTACTTTGTTAGGAGACTCAGCAGCGCCTTGTTCTTATCACTGGGTTTACCATTGCGAGTGTAATGATTGACTATATGTTTGGTGTGTGCCTACAGCACTTGAATCTCCATACATTCCATTTACATTCTGATAAATCTTGCTCCACATGTAAACAGCCATATCATGGTCATCAGCATACTGATCGATAAAGCAAATTATTACTGCATGGTCTGCGAGCTGATAGCTCACTCTTACTTGGGCCCTAAAAGATCCTATTTTACACTTGTAAATATTTGGGTTAGCTACACTGCTGTATAGCTTCAGTCCAGCTCTGATCTAATATCTCAATTGACATGCTAGAAATATTTAATCAATAAATTTGGCTTTTGTAAACAGAGAATCTACCAACCAGTTGGCTCACATGTCCTGATATCATGTGGTCAATACCCTGTTACCTGTTCACATTATACAGGTAAATATGTATAGGTGGTTATCAAGGTACAGGTAAGCATACCATTATTATCTTTTAAAACCATATCTACCTATATAATAGGTCTCCATCTCACAAAGAAGTTATCAGTAATATTCCCAAAAATTTCTGCTATCTTATATTGACAAGACAATGAATCATCAAGGATGTTTACTGCATAACCTTTATATTACAACAATCAGGGCCTTGTCGCACCGTTTTTCACAATGTACTATCAGGTATACAATCACATCCAAAAAGAATTAGTCAATGCCTGCTAATATAGAATAAAATTAGATTTGGTTCAAATAAAACTGTTATAGATCAGAAAGTGTTGAAGTTTTATAGTGTGTGAGATATTATAGAGAGAAATCCTAAACAAGATATGTGTCCAGCCTTTTTTACACTACAGTGATGGAAACAACAATCAAACATGTCACATTGTATAAAACAGAGCTGATCTTATCATTGATGCCACCTGTCCGGTAGACCAACTCCAGTCCACACTCTGACAGACGTACCATCCGCCTGTGATCTGGGGGACTTGGTTGATAGTTTTAAAGGTACATTCTATAATAACACCGTAACCACATCTCTCTGGTATCTCCTCCATCAGAGAAGGAGTTACCATCCTACTCAGACTTTCAATCACCTGCAGCCTCTGATCACCCAGGCTTGACCCACGTTGATTCTTGTCTGCATCATCTTGTGACAAAGACTATCAGGTGTGTTCCAAAATTACTCAACACTTGAATGATTAATATCTTCACAACACAAGATTCACTATCCTCACCCGCCCAACCCCTTTCCTTTTTCCTTTTTGTTTTTTATCCCAATGGGAACCACTAGAAAGCTTTTGCTATAAAACAAATGACTGGTACAAATTTTCAATATCTTGATGGTACTAGACATTTATGTGACATGGGTGTAACTTAATGGTTAGTCTTATAAGACATGTATGAGAAAAGAGTGTACCTTAATGGTAAGTTTATGTGACACGTACGGGGCAAGGATGTGCCTTAATGGTTAGTCTTCTAAGACATGTATGTGACAAATGATGTACCTCAATGGTCAGTCTGGTAAGACATGTATGTGACAAGGGTGTTTATGTATACCCTACTGATGGCACCCAGACACCCTTAAAGCCGTACTGTCTGAGGAGGCATGCATGTGACAAGAGTGTTAGGTTTCTCCCTTCAATATGCATGAGAATAGGATACCCATCAAACATTTAATCCTATCATTTACCAAACAAAAATTTTGTACTGGGAAGACCAGTTGGAATTTCTGGCAATCTATATATATATATCAACAAAATGAGTCATTTTAGTTGTGGTAATACGCAAGAAAATTAGGCAAGAAAAATACTTTTTAATGTAACAAAATACTAGAAACACCTCTCTACACCATATGATTAACACAAATTAAAAACATATCAAATGTCAACAGGAAATGAAACACTAGGCAGGAAATGATGACAATTTGACAGTGAAATGTCAATTTTCAGTCAGTAATACCCAAAAACTTAAAAAGGATCTATTTCAGATTTTCTGGTATGACTTGTTCTTCAATATCAATAAATAAATTTATACCTAATTTCATTGCAAATTTCTTCATTTAATTTACAAAATAAAAT